TTGCTAACAAGATGGCTCGTTCAAACATTCAATACCAACAAACATTGACAAAACAGCGTTATGATCGAAATAGATCCAGTCCTGTTTACAACATTGATGATCTCGTTTGGCTCAAAATATTAATCGGTCGGTCAAAGTTAGATGAACGATATCGTGGTCCCTATCGAATTACTGATAAAATTACTGCAGTCAATTACATGTTAGCTGATAGTGATGGTGCATTGGTGGCACACGTCAATAACTTATTACCGGTTTATGAACGCTTGATTTAGTTGACTGTTTGTTTTCTGTTATGTTGTCACCACTCCTTTTTTCCGATGAGCCGGGAGGCTCATCTTGAAGCCACGGGGGGAGTGTTATGTCAGTCGTCACTAACATTCCTTCCTCTTCCTCTTTCCCATTTCTCATTATCACAAAGAATGTTGACTCAGTTCTTCTTGAGTCAACATTCTTTCTTCATCTATACAGAGTGTCTGTTTGTACACACGGAGTCAGTTTTTTGTTTTGACTTTTTGTGTGATTTTATTCTTTCGAATAAAATCTGTGGAGGCTAGCAAAATTCATACTATTAGGGTTCTTAAATCAGAATTTCCAATATTTTCCATACAAAAAAATCCACTTAGCAGCTTCGTTTCGTGTAGGTGATTGGAGAATTAGTTGATTTGAGACTCAATTTACCTAGTATATCATCGGCTATTTGTATGACATTGAAAAATCGAAAAAAATGATTATATTATTTATATGTATTGTAAAAATTTTTGTATTTTATCCACCTAGAATAAGAATGATTGGGGTATTTTTCCTTAAAAAAACAATAGTTCATTGAAAACTAGTTTGTTAATTCTTGAAACAATTCTGTGTGGGTAACTTGATGCGCTCTACACTCCGTATTAGGGCTTGATATGCACCTTGCTGTTTCAATATTTAGTCTATTACTTTTTTATTGATTTAAGCAGAGAACAAACAAAACAGGAGTGAAACATGTGTTTTTCTTTTTCAGAGAAAAAAATTACTCAATTTATTGCATTCTTATTTTTATTAAATAAAAATTGAATGTTTTCTTTTTTCTACAATCCACTCTTTTTCTAACTTTTTTCTCTTAAAAAATGTCTAAACACATCGGTAAGTTAATAAAATTCTTAATAAACTTTTTGTGTCTAAACATTTTTTTCTTTATGCTTGTTAGGTTTTGTTTGCAGTTCTTGTAAAATTAAAGGTTTTCTTGGTGAACGTTATAAATGTGAAGTATGCTATGACTATGATCTTTGTCAGTTGTGTTATTTTGAAAGTAAAACAACAAGATATCATCTAAAATCACATCATATGAAATGTATCGATGTACCGTTGCAAGATTGTATCGGTATGTATATAATGGAGGAAAATCACATTTAGTGTCAGAGTTAATACATGCTTAAATCTAATTCCGACTCTATTTAAGACTTGTTTTAGTTTTTAGATATTAAGAGTAATGTACGAACAGCATTTTCATTTCAAATTGGTCAAAGAAATAAAAAACAAGTAAATTTCCCATATTTGGATGCAGATGATTCAACATTACATGCTGCAGTATTAAGTGAAAATTTATCAACAATTAAAAGTGTATTAGATGAGAAAAGTGTTGATATTAATAAAACGAACTATCGACTTGAAACACCATTACATTACGCATCGGCCAAACATTTATATAATGTTGTACAGTTATTATTGAAATATGAAGATTGTAATGTTAACTGTAAAGACTACTATGGATGTACATCATTACATCGATTATTGAATGTTGTTGATGATAGCAATAATGATATTTCACTGTTGGTAGATTGTTTGATTAAATCGAATCCATTAATCATGTACACTCATAATATTGCCTATCAAACACCGATGGATTGTATGTTAGATGTTTATAGTCACAATATAATATCCATATTTATTCAAAATGGTTATCAACCAAATATTGCATATTTACCACATGGTAGAACAGATTTACATACCGCTGTATTCGAAAATAAAGTCGATATGATTGAGGTTTTATTAAATTTTGGATGGAATCCTAATGAAAAAGATCGTTGTGGTAAAATTCCACTACATTATATTTCATCACTTCATAGCGCATGTAAAATAATCGAATTATTATGTTTTAATGGTTGTAATATCAATATACAAGATAGTCAAGGTAATACACCATTGAATACGTTTGTGTCGCATTGTTCAATAGTTGATCCAGATTTAACTGATTTATTAAAGTATAAATATGAGTATGAAATTCCAACACTACTTCGAAATACAATAGAATGTTTTTTACAACATGGAGCTGATATGAATATCGAAAATATCTACGGTCACAATCCTGCCTATAATGCTATAAGAAATCAAATAAAAAGTGATATTCTTCTATATATGATTTCTCATCTAAACGAACCATATCGATGCCGAAATAAATCTGGTTGTTCTCTGCTTCATTGGGCAATTGCTTATAATCGAATTGAAATAATAGAAGAACTCATATTCAAATATCAATGTAATCCACAAACACTGGATAATAGTGGAGCAAACGCTCTTTTCTATACGGATGAAAATATGTTTGAAACTGTACAATATCTAATTCTAAATGGTGTTGATCCATTTGCATTTGATCAGCATGGGTTAACAGCAGCCAAACAAGCACAGTACTTTGGTTTCACTGATATTCTTCGATTGTATAACGCTGAAGGAATTGATCGTTATCCGATAAGATCATTCAAAGATGTGCCGCGGCCAACATTATCGCCAGCTGATTTCACTAGACAAGTAATAAATTCACCTTACGTTGGAAGTTTACCATCAAATATCGATGAAATAAATGAAATCAAACATGCTGTTCAATTATTTATGAACTATTTATCAACAACAATTATTCAATTGGATAAACGCTTTCAATTTCAACCACAGTTATCAGGTAGTATGATGGAACAAACAAAAATAGGATTACCTAATGAATTTGACTATATGTGTGATCTAGAATTATTTAAAATATTGATTTCAAATGTTATTAATTATTGCGATAATGATGAGTTTATTCGTCCACCGGATGGTTTTGCAAGAATTATATGTTCAAATGGAATTCGCCCTGATTTGGATGAGTATACATATAAAGATCAGTTAGGTATAACATTAATGCCATTAGCAATCGTATATCGTTTCAAAGATTTATTATCAGTTATTTTATCAAATTATAAAGCAAATATAAATAATTTAGAACTACGTACACATTTTTCAGGACGAGAAACAGATTCTAAAACAGCTATCAACATTATTCTTGAATGGAATGGTTCATTGTACAAATGTTTGACAATATCAATTGATATCGTTCCTGTGATAAAAATAAATGAAAAGTCTTGGCCAATAGCAATTGATCATCATCTTTTCAAGTCGATAACAGATATTACACAAATACCATATTGTCCTCCAACATATCATGTTGTTCTCGTTATGAATACAAAATTTTATATTGATAGTAACATATTTTTACGTTTATCATTCAGCACAATTGAAACTTACATTGCACATCATGTTCCTAATTATATTCGTTATTCATACATATTTGCTAAAGCATTAACACACCCATTGATTATTGATGAAATTTCTGTGCCTGTTCAATGGTTAGACAGTGAAGAAGCAAGTAATGTGACTGACGACGATGAAGAAACAAAATCGAACAGAATAAACGAGATAAAAGACGTAGAGGACAGTAAAGATGATGATCAGTTATCATGGTATACAGAAGAAATTCTTGAAGGATCGAAAGATGATAGTGTGTGTGAAGAAGATATTCATATTCGGGATTATATCACATCGTTTATGTTGAAAAATGTTTTTTTTTGACAATTAACTAATGATGAAATGACAGTAATCGATACTAATAATGAAATTTTGATTTCGAATCATAACTGTACAAATGAATGTCATACAAATATACAAACACCAATTGTTTGTCCTTTAATTCTATCTAGAATATTAAAAATTACTAGAATAATATTACATAAATGTTTAAATAATTTAGATAATGACAGTAGTTGTTCATTTAGCTCTTGTATTGTGAAGAATTTAGATTTAACTAAATTTTCAACTAGAATAATTGGCATGTA